ATCAGCATGGGTTTGGCATTCGCTCAAAACATGGAAAATACAATCAAACAAGAAAATGCCACTTGACTTTCTATCGTTTAGTTGGGTTACATTATTTTCAGCCACGTGACTTGACCTCGTTTTGCTAGGAGCAGGGTGATCAAGGAGTAAACTATGTGTGTGTGTGTGTGTGTGTGGGGGAGGGGGGAAGGGGGTGGTGTGGGTGTCCGGTGCTCCACCCCTCCCCTACACACTACTTGTACCCGTGAAGAGAGGTTGGGCATGCTTAATTCGTCGGGGCAGTCTAAATTGACGTCACCAGATTTCATTTGCGGTCGCAATTGACATGATCATGACACTCAACGTTTCTTCATGAGCTTAGAATTCATGAAGTACTATTACTATACCCCATTAGCGAATCAAACAAAAATCGAAAAGAAAGCAAACCGCTTCTTTTTCAGCTTTGCATTTTCAGGCCCACGCAGATAATGAACTCAAGGTGAACTCCTTGGCGTTCGCTTGCCGGGTTGTGACGGGGGAGGTGTCTCCTTCGAAGCCGTTAGGGGCACCCCCATTAATTTAGGTACTCTTTTCTCTACGTTGACATTCAACCAAACCAAGAGCCCCCGGGGGGTACTTCCTAGTAATAGGCTGATGGGGATATGCCGCTGGAAGGGGTCGCATGCATTTTCACGCCTGGTTTGACTGTAATGAGGTTGCATTTTCATTAGAGTTACTACAGTGGGATCGCAAATTTTCGGGAGTTGGGGGATCAGAAAATTCTGGTAGGTAGGGATTTAAAAATGGGAAGATTTTTACTTCACTAAGTTTAATGTGTCAATTCATTTTAGGATGACCCTAGTTTAAGGGCTTTATAAAGCAGATGCATAAACGGAAAGTTGTGATCGCGAAAAATGTATTTTCCCAAAGTTACTAAGATTTGGTCTATATTTGCCACAGAATAGACTATAATGGGGTAGGGGTTCTAAGAGGCCAGCGCCACATACCCAGCAAAAATTAAACCGAGTAACTTCGCCCCCACCTCCCCTGGGCAAGAGCCATTGACCAAATTTAGAACTGTACCAGGAGGCGGGTACTCCCTTATAAGGGCTTAATGGGCACGTGCAGCCACCCAGGGTCGTGTTTTTCGGGGTTTTTTCTCTTAAACAGGGTATCGATGTTATCCAACCTCGTCCCCAGGGCTTTTCCCTTAAAAACCCATTTTTTAAGGGAAAAGCCCTGGGGAAGAGGTTGGATGTTATCATTTTTTGTTCTTATCAGGGTATCGAGTTTATCAATTTTTGTCTTAATCAGGGTATCGATTTTATCATTTTTTGTCTTAATCAGGGTATCGATTTTATCATTTTTTGTCTTAAACAGGGTATCTTTTCTTGGACGATAAACAGCCTGAGTGACTCTGTTGATCAAGCTGTAAATAGCTTTGTGATTGCCCATGGATTAAATAAGAAGGAGTTTCGATATTTAATATTGCCTTACACAGGGTATGTTTTCGGGTTAAATGTCTTAAACAGGGTAGGAAAATCAGCGATTTTTGTCTCAGACAGCGTTAGGGTATGAGGGGCCGGGCCCCACCTTCCTACCCAAGGATATATCGTGTACCCCCCTCCCCCCGGGGGGAACTGTAGCATATTTCAGGAGCTCACGACTCCGCCCGAGACTCCGGTAACAAAAAGGATATATCGTATTTTCTCCATTAGTTAAAGCCCGTGCCTCAGGTAATCGGCTCCTGCGGCGTGCCCCAAATAAACGCTAATCCTTCCTTATAAACATAACGATCCCACATATACTGCATGCAGATTCAAACAAATGCCAGGAGCGTTTTATTGAGGAAATATAGCCTGTTCCAGGCTCCGAGATGGTGGTGTGGAAAGTCGTTCAGTAATACTATCTGAGAGCCTGGCACAGGCTAGAGGAAATACGGTACCCTGTAACAATATCCCGGGCGGACGTTGACTTCCGTGAGGCAGGGACAGAGAGGCTTGTCGGAAAAATATTGGGAAACCAATCTGGGCAAAACAAGAGCTTTGCTGGATCTTGAGTGATCTAAATTGCGCGAGGGATGTTGAAATGAAATTCTGTCTTTAACACAGTATGACGGCATTTGGTTTTCTTTGTACGTTTTTCTTTGCACGTTTCCCTAATCAGTACC